ATTCTGTAGTATTTACTTTTACTTCTAAAATTCCTGGAATGTCAAAGGAAACCTAAAATATAATATTTTTAAAATGTATTTTTAGTTCGATTAAGTATAATTACTTTTTATAAGTATTTGGTGTAAAATGTTACCGGACAATTGTTTACAACGATTTATCTGCAATTCTTTGTTTTTATTGTAGTTAAACCATTTTGTATATCTAATGAATGAAATAATAAAATTACATCAGGCATTGTAATCTGAAACAAAGACAATGGTTTAGAAAATAGTTTTCCATTTTATAGAGGACCATTACCAAATCTACTCGAATGTATTATTAATTTCTTTATTTAGCTTTGCTAATACAAAAATAGTACAGTTTTTAAAACAATAAGTATAGTTTATACATTATGTATAGTGTCTAAAAATGAACAGGAAAAAAAAAACATAAATTATTAGTGTCTAACTATAAAAAATATATATATATATATACATGTAAAATATAAAATTAAATTTATATCTACAATTAAAATCTCTCTATATCTACAATTAAAAATTTTTTTTTTTTTTTATTTATACCCTTTGTGTCATCATAATATAGTTCTTAAGTTTACATTTAAAATTATTGTATAAATAATAATTATTTATAAAATAAATTCTGGAAGTCATAAAATAATCCATCAAAAATGACAAGAAAAACTGACAAGTGACAATTGACATAAACGTTCCGTACTTCTCGTGGATACTATTTTAGCAAATTACTTTATTGCATAACAAGTAGGTTAACTAGGTAAATAACAAATAGAAGTTTTGCGAGGTTTTGATTTCCCTCAACAACTTCTCATGAACGTTGCATTTACGTTGTATAGTAATGTTATTACGTTCCCTTAATTGCAACATCGCCAAAAGGCTTGGTAACGTTATGTGCTAGCTGGCGGGAAACCGGAAGTCGGCCATTTGTTTTAGTATAGTTGGCACTTGGGGGGGGGGGGGGAGTAAAGGGGTATAAGTAGAAAATATTCAAAATTGAGTTAAATCTGCCGCGATACTTCTAAACTCATTTTGTACCCCTGCGAAAAGGGATATAAGTAATAAGAAAAAGGGATATAAGTAATTTAAGCCTTACAAAATTAGGGTATTTATAAAAACCGTTATTCAAACTTTAAATTCAGTTTATTATAATAATTGTTGATTTAGGAGTTATACCTCTTTACCCCCCAAGTGCCAATTGTCAATTAGAAATTACCAAGTAGGGCCACGAAATTCAGAATATAGCTTAAAAATATATAACCCGGTGTTTCTAAACCTAAGATGATATTGCGGGCCTTTTTTTTGTGTTGGCGAAAGGGTTCATATGCAAAAAAGAGTTTTACAACCTGGCGAAAAGGTCACCTCTTTTTTGAAATAGATATGTGTAAAATCAGGACCAAAAATCGAAAAGAGCTTCATTTACTCTCAAAATGTTTGTATCACTCTCAAGACTATTACCCTTGTGGACATTCAGTAGTTTTACCTCATTTACCAAAAAATTGATTTTGACATTTTAACCCGGAGCGAATAAAAGGCCGATGTTCAAAATAATATCATGCACTCTGATAAATTATATAATTAAACACTTTTTTCCTAATTTATTATCTGTCGACTGGCCTAAATCCCAAGGTATGCATTATTGGCGAAGTTGGTAAAGTAACCGAATTCAATTTTAAAATTCGCCTACGAACAGTACGAACCCTGTTTACACATGAATTCGAGAACAAAACAGATCAAATAGATTACAATTGGCCAGTTGGCCGAACGAACAACAAACAGAACATAAGTAACCGAAAAAAAAATCGAAGCGAAGCGGATGGTCGGACGAATTTAATAGGTGGACACCGATAATTCATGACCCTGGAGAGGAGAAAACCGCATCTCAGGGGAGACATATCTTTCGTTCCGTAGCGAGGCTACTTTTTTTAAAGCTTTCAAGTGCCATAACTCGTATTTAACCGTATCTGCCGGAGATATCCACCTATTTGAGAGAGTTTATTGCGCCCAAAGGATGAAACTTATGAGCGATAATTGAACATTTTTTTACGAGCTGTAAAAAAAGAAATCTCAAAATTATCTGTCATGAATGTAGAGCAGCTCTAAATACAGGAGAGATTATGGATAGCAATAGGTACTAAATTAACGATTTTTCTGTGTGAATTATTATGAAAAGAAATTATAATTAAAAAAAATGATTGATTATAAAAAAAAATCTGATGTGTCCAACACATGACTTTCCTGTCCAGTTATTATAGGCTTTTTCCGGTTATTTTGTACAACCTATTTATTATATTACCCCTGTAAATGTTTAGAGGATATATACATTTTCGCTCCGTGGTGTTTTATTGCAGAGCTGGTAAGTCGAGTAAGATCTATTTACTCCGAATTAAATTTTAGAGCTTTCAGATTAAATGTAATTTCTATGACAATTGACAAAGATGCACTTTTCTAAGATATACAGACGTCGTTCGTTGTCCCTTGTGTTGCAGTATATTCTTTTTCATGCGTTTGGTTATTAAAAAAAAATATTTATAAAAAATGTCAAAAAGAAATGGGGACATGGTTTATTTTCTAGAGAAAGCAGAAAGAAAAAAATACCATAGCTAAAAATTAACTTTACTTTGCAACTTTCAACAAAAACCATGAGACGAGAGATCAAATTTGATATAAAAGAAATGTTTAAGTTTGTTATTTTAATGAAAACCGGAAACGGGAAACACAAACAAATCCATAGCCGTTCTTTTATTCCACATGAGCTCGATTTGCTCGATGATCACGTGACTAAAAAATCTACTAGCTCTAATCCGCTCCGGGAGGTACTTTTCAAACGTAGCAAATTATTACAAGCAACTTTTATTTAAAGAATTTTCTTCCTCAATTACTGGTTTAATTATATATATATATATATATATATATATATATATATATATATATATATATATATATATAAAAAACGACTTTCTAAAAAGTACCCTCCCAGATGTTCCGACTATGCGCAAAATTTAAACAGTTTACGGCAGGATATATTAAAACTTAAATTTAAAATTTGGTGTTTTTCTCTTTATCCGTTTTTGAGTTATCTTCAAAATTCTTAATTTGCACATTTTCTTAAATATCTCGAAAACCGTCAATTTTAGAGAAATTATGTATAGGATAAAAATTATAGAGAATTATATTACAAACAACTTTTATTTTCACGATTTTCTTAGAAAATTGATTTTTTACATTTTATCAAATTTCTCGAATATGGGCCACTTAAGGTTAATTTTGTATCAAATAAGATTATAGAGACTAATATTACAAGCAACTTTTATTTAAAGAATTTTCTTCTCCAAGCGTAAATAACATATATTCCATAAAATATAAAAACGACCCCCTATAAAGTACCCCAGATGTTCAGACTATCCCCAAAATCTAATAAGTTCACCGCCAGGATGGATTGAAGCTTAAGTATAAAATTTTGTATTTTTCTCTGTATCGGGATATCAGGATAACTTAAAAGTTCCTGGCAACTCTGCAGTTTCTTGTTTCATCCCATCTTTCCTTGAATTTCACAAGGCAATGTTCTTTAATTAGATATGTCACTACCGATTTTCTCAGGCCAATAGAAGGGGCAGGTCCAAAAACTATTTGGTTGGCTGCTTTCTTGGCCAATGAATCAGCAAGACGGTTACTTTTCCATGTGGCGTGATCTTTGATCCATCTTAAGGTTACCACGTTGTTAATGGCTACTCTGGCCAAAGCTTCGTGATATTCTAGTACTTACCCTGAGTAAATTCGTGGTCTGTTTAGGGTGAGTAGTGCTTGTCTGCTATCTGTATAGATGAGCATGTTCCTTCCAGTGATATTGTTTCTGGTGATTTCTTTTGCTGCTATGAGAATCCCCGTGAGCTCTGTTTGAACTACATTGGCATTATTACTCACAGCCAATTTTATGATTAGGTTTAAGGACCTGGAGTATATTCCACATCCTGAGCCTTGTTTTGTTTTAGAACATTGGTAGTAATAAATTTAATTAGTGTCTTGGTGTAAATAAATTAAATAAATAAACTGTTTAAATAAATAAACGTTACATTAATTTATTAAAATTAGGTTTCCAATCGCTCCTACCAGTTATTTTATTGAATAGAGCAAAAAGTGTTAAATGAAGCTATTATAAAATTTGCTTAAAATTATCGCTTTCATTTTTTATGGGGAAAAAGTTAGTTTTTTTTATTATAATAGCGAATTACGCTCTCTAATGGCGAATATAGAAAGTTCAAAATAATAAGCAGAATTTTCTCTTGACCGACTTTGTTATAATTTTTTTTTGCTAACTTTTATTGGACATTTTTAGGGAACAGTGAATTACGCCCTCTAACGGCGAACATAGAAAATCGAAAATAATAAACTGACTGAACGCGAGACCGATGCAAGCGACAGCAACAACACTACCGTGTTAAAAGTCGCGGTCTCTTGCTTCGGTCGCTCCCAAATGTGCTTCATATGTGATTCAGAAGTAATGAGACCGTCTTCGGTCGCCTTACGCGGTCACTTAAATACCTATAAACCTATACCTACCTATAAATAGTTTTTTATGATACAGCCGCTAAAAGTCCCTGTACAAACAGAAAGCCATGTGCCAAGCGTTACTTTTTCGGCTGTAGGCGAAGTAGAAGAACTTTGACAATGTCTTGTTATACAGGGTGGACAATGCTTGACTTTCATAGCCAACCCTGAATTAAAAAAGCTTAAAAAAGCTGTACTACAGTAAGAGATGACATTAATCTAAGCGTCTCTAAAAGCTTTCTCCACGTCTTGTCTTTGGATATGTTAGACTCTTTATACTTTTCTATATTATTAATACGTTTTTCTGCGTTTAAAGTAATATTTAACGATTCTAACCTTTCTTATAAAATCTCTAAACACAACAAAATACTCCAACATGCTAAAATATCTGCCTCACGGTATATTAACGTAAATAAAAAATATGTAATAAATGTACTTACTTCATGATACCATAAGATTCTGTGCTCCTTGGGATTTGCTTTGATGCTACACTCGAAGTAAACGTCGTCTCCTTCTTTTATGTCTTCTGGATTTAAAGTATTTCCCAGATGAAGAACCACTTGCGGGGGATCTACAAAACATATATACAGTTTTGCTTTAGGAATTTCTTATTTTCAACGGAATAATAAAATATGAATCAAGTAGGCGTCAGTTAAAATTTACCATACTGGGCGGTTATATTATCAGAACTTGATTTTGTATATTTGGCGTAGTCAGAAGGATAAATTGTAACAAAATACCTAGAATCCAAGTCTGACAAATCTATTTATTTTAATTATGACAAAATCTATCAATCAAGTAAAATATTTATATAGTGCTATTTTCACGTCGTAAACTATTACTTATATGAACAAATCCAACTTTTACCTATTACATAGTTTAAAGTGTAATTACACTAAATTTCCATACATATAATGAATAGTAGTTTGTGCAAAAATAGTGGATATGATGGCTATATGGACAATCCATTCGAGTACAGTATATTTTTTCTACCACCCACTAAAGAAAAAAAAAATAAAAATAATTTTAAAGGTTAGTTTTTTTTAATTCCGTGATTTATTGCGATCGGTCTCCAAAAGACAATATACAATACTTTTGACAATTGGCAGTATCCTTTACATTTTTTTAATACACGGTATTTAAATCTAAAATAGTTCCATGCTAGGTTACACTTTTAAGAACTACACTAAGAAACTGGATGGTGAGACTCTTACAACAGTAAAACACAGTGGCGGCTCGTTACTTGTGTAATAGGGAGGGCTGAGAATAAGGGAATAAAATCAATACCAAAAATCATTTAAACTTAAGCGGCTGAATACGAGGCTTTTTAATTCCGTTACTTTCATGATAAATAATTATTACGAAGATTATAAAATAAACAATATCACACTAGATCAACATAGCGAAACAAACCATAAAGCGATGGCGAGATGGGCTGTCTGAGCTACGCCCGATAACGGCGCCAACGCATGAATCCAAAATTCATAATTTCTTTCGAATACTCCGCGATCTATACGTTGACGTCAGTAACCATGGCAACTGTCCAGCGATTCGCTATTCGCGATTCAAACTAAGTAGAAGGGAAATTTGTAGAAGGTGCTTATAAGTAGGATATCGTTCAGTGTTGCCAGAAGTAGCGAAATTTGGCTACGTCGTCGTATTTTAGCCTTTGAAGAAGTGAGTAAGACCTTTTATTTAAGAATCAAAACTTGTGTCTAGTAATATGTAATCAAAATCTATATTTATTTAAGGAATTTTTCATAAAACCGAATTATTATATTGATTTTTTTTTAAATTTCAGTTCATTTATTAATTTTGTTTAAAAATCAGTTCATCATTTGGAAACATTGGCGCTCGTGTTCATTGTTTATAATTAATTTATATAAATTATAATTCCTGCAAATTGCAATCTATATGGTGTCAATGTCAAAATACTAATTTGCAGATGACACCTGCTATTTCGCAGGGAAGGCGGCGCCCCAGCGCCTTCCCTCACCAGCCGCCAACGAGTCGTTTCGGTTTAGTCTTTGGATTCTAGGGATGTCAAGTAAGTCTGTATTGGGATGGTTACTAAGTCGATTCTGGTATTTTTCAATTAGGCCAGCTATCTCTTCCTTCACCGTTCTTATCTTCAAATCTCTTTATATGACATGGTCAGTGGCGTAGCCACAAGGTGGGGGGTTTGGGGTCACCCCCCCCCCATGGAGGGCCTTCTCGTCACCGCCATCGTATTTGCGCTGACCGCTATTATAACTTGTTCTTTATTAACTTTTTTATCGTTTTATAAAAAAAATATTTATTTTTATTTACTTTTTATCGTTTCTTAAAAAAATATTTATTTTTTATTTACTTTTTTATCGTTTTATAAAAAAATATTTATTTTAATTTGCTTTTCTTAATGAAAACAATATTATTCGAAATATTTCACTTTAATAATGGAACCCCCCTTCCCATAGTTCTCAGAAAACCCTCCCATGAAAAATTTCTGGCTATGCCACTGGACATGGATATACATTGTCGTGAGAACGCCTGAAACCGACTCTGTTTTTTGTTTATTACTGTACCCGCGACAGAAAGTCTAGCGCTGGCCATATCGAGACCCGCCTCGAGAATCGAGAAACAGAATCGAATTTTTTCTATCGCAGTTTGACGCGTGTAGGATAATTCCAGAACTTCTAGACTGAGCGTCTAGTCAGAGTTAGTTCTTTTTAGAGTGTTTTATTTTTGTATAAATGGCGCGACTTTTTTGGTAGAAGTTTCAATATAAGTGTTGTAAGAATAAATTGTAATAAATAAAATAGAATTGTGAGTTATAATAGTGCCTAAGTATTAAATAAATTAATTGGTACGGTATAAATAAATTATAAATAAACTGTTTTTAATAACTAAACTATTTTTAAATAAAACAATCGTTACATTGGCGTTAGAAGTGGAACTGTAAATAAATAGTAGACAAAAGTTTGAGCTTTATAATAAACAATTTTCATCATAATACAATTCTAAATAAGTGTTTAAATAATTTCATAATTTTGTGACTAAACTACTTCATCGAATAGCTTATATATTCAAACATCTTGCATTCAAGTATTTTTGTCATAAAATACTTCTTAAAGTCAATACCTAAATTTTACTAGAAAGTCTTAAAATAATGACAAATCCGCATTTTTATCATTATAGTTCATAGGTTTCACCACCAGAGGCTACAATGAATTTTATTAACTTTTTGTAATTTGAAGTTATTGAAATTGAGACTTTTATTGTAAAGCATTTCAGCTACTTAAAAAAAGCAACGTTGTCAAGTGTAATTTACTCGATTTATTTTATTTAAAATGCATTATTTGCCAATATATGGGGCATTTAACCCTTTTTTTTACTTTAACCTCATAGGCATCTCAAAATGTTCGAGACAAAAAGTTTTAATAGTTAATTTAAAAACCAGGTTTAAGTATTTTTATGATGGATGATTATAATTAATTATATACAGGGTGTTCCATCTCAGACGAGCCACCCCGTATATTTCTTATCCCATAGTAATTGGAAAAATTCCCGAAACACGTCGGGTGATTTTCTTTGGGGGATATCTTTTGACGTATATTTGAGGCTTGAACGAGCAACCCTCTATGAGGGGGCGCATCAACCCCTCAAAATTTAATAGGGAAGAGGGGTTGAGTGATACTTCATTTGTAAGGTCTTACAGCCTCTTTACAACGGTGTATGAAAAAAATTACATTCTTAAAAAAATTAATTGTTTTATCATACATGAAATGACCGAAGAAACGTGATAAATACCTTCTAAGAACAAAAAATGAAGGCAAGATAAGAAAATGTTTTGATTTTTTTTATTTATTAGTTCGAGAGAATTTATTATTGTATGGAAGTCAATGGAGGACAATTTGAACATTTGATTTAAAAACGCAGTTTTGATTTTTTTGATTGTAAGCATGACAAAAATACAAAAAACACAAAGCAATATATGAAAAAATTTATTGATTATCAAAAGCTAATGACCGACGAATGTATAAATATTATCAAAACATTAGTAAATAATAATACAAAATTGGTTAAAATTTCTAAAAGGCTACACAATAAAAAACCATGGATAACAACAAGTTTGTTAAAAAAATAAATGAAAAAAATGAGCATTATCTATTAACAAAGCGTAATCCAAATGATCTTAATCTACAAAATTCATATCGGCAAATTAAGAACAAGCTGACAAAACAGGATTAATTAAGCCTATATTTAAAGGAGGAGAAAAAACAAAAACAGGTAATTATCAGCCAATAACACTAACTTCAACAATAAGTAAAATATTTGAAAAAATATTTAAAAAGAGGCTTATTAGTTTTTTGGAAAAACACAACATATTATCTAATAGTCAATATGGCTTTAGAGAGGGAAAATCTACTATCACTTATGAAGGATGTATATAACGCATTAGATAAAAAAGCACCTTCCTTATGTATTTTTGTAGACCTTTCTAAAGCCTTTGACACAGTAGATCATGAGAAATTATTAAAAAAACTAATGTGTTATGGTATAAGAGGCGTCGCATATAATTTTGTTAAAAGCTACTTAAGCAGTAGAACTCAGTAGGTACGTAGAGATTGATGGGAACATCAGCGAGGCTAGAACTATTACTTATGGTGTACCCCAAGGTACTGTACTGGGGCCTATACTATTCAACATATATATAAACAGTTTGCTAACACTGAATACAGAAGGAAAAATTATAAGCTTCGCTGATGACACCGCCATTTTTTATAGATCTAGTACTTGGAATGCTGTTAAACATGAGGCTGAAAATGACTTTAAAAAATTCTAACATGGTTTAATTACAACAAATTAACTCTAAATATAGAGAAAACTAAATATATGCCATTTACATCATACTCTCCTGGACTTCCCAATTTTGGCCCTCTACTCATAGACAATAATTTAAAAATTCCAGAAACAGAAAAAATTAAATATCTAGGACTAATTGTTGACCATCATTTAAAATGGGACCTGCAAACTAAATATGTTACCCAGAAGTTAAATACTTAAGAGAATTTCTAGATTTAAATCATTTAAAAATATAATATTATTCATTAATACAATCACATCTTAATTATGGAACTATTGGGTGGGGAGGAGTCAATGACTGTCACTTAGAAAATTTAAATGTAATTCAAAAATGGATTATTAGAATAATTTATAAAAAAAATATATTGTTTCCCAGTAATGAGCTTTATAACATTAGTGATTTTATGGATGTAAGACAAATTTATTGTCTAAAAATATTTTTATATTATCAAAAAAATAAAAACAAGTTACAACGTCTAGCACATATCCATGACACAAGAAACAAAGAAAGAACGTATAACTTACCTAAGCGAGATAAAACTATAGGTCAGCGCTGTTTTGACTACTTTGGCCCAAAACTTTTTAATCAAATCCCAGTTGATCTACAAAATATGTCCCAATTAGGCTATTTTAGAGCAAAAATAAAAATATGGATGAAATAAAAAAATAGAGACTTTTTCCACAACATTGTAAATCATATTTAAACAAGGAATATATTCAAAATAA